GCCTAACCTTTGACTGAACACCACCACTCCAGCTAAACCAAAGCACTAAATGCCATGTCCAGTCATTTCTTGAACACTTCCAAGGGCAATGACTCCACCATCTCCCTGGGTAGCCTGTTCCAATGCTTGACCACCCTTTCTGTGAATTCCTTCTGATGTCCAACCTGAACTTGCCCTGATGCAGCTTCAGACTGTCCCTTTATCCTGTCACTGGTTGCCTGGGAGAAGAGGCTGATCCTCATTGTGCTACAACCCCCTTTCAGGCAGTTGTAGGGTGATAAGTTCTCTCCTGAGCCTCATCTTCTCCTGATAAGACTTACACTCTAGATCCTTCCCAAGCCTTGTTGCCCTTCTTTGGACATGTTCCAGCACCTCAATGTCTTTCTTGTAGTGAGGGGCCCAGAAGTGAACACAGGATTTGACGCATTGCCTCACCAGTCCCAAGCACAGTGGGACAATCACTGCCCTGGTCCCACTGGCCAGAGTGTTTTTTATACAGGTCAGGATGTCGCTGGCCTTCTTGACTAGCTGGGAAAAACCTGGCTCATGTTCAGTCGTTGACCATCATCCCCAGGTCATTTTCTGTTGGACCCCCTCCCAGTCAGTGAATGTGGATATTTAACAATCTCTCCACTTAACCTCCTGTGATTTCCCTGCAAAACATTTTTTTTTCTTGTACTCTACCCAACACCTTAAAAGCTCATCTAATATCAGTCTTAATCAAAGCACATATTTCTTCTAAATCAGTCATTCACCAGTACTCATGCTGAGTTTTCTCTGTGCTTACCCTAAGTTTTGCTTTAGGGTTTTGTTTTGGGGTTTTTTTTGGGGTATGTATACAATAACTACAAGCAGACACAGGGTTGGCAAGGCACAGAAGAGCTGAAGGAAACATTATTCTACCATGATAAGACATGAACTATGGATCTGACTCAGGGACCAAACTTATGAGTGAATGTTAGAATGTGGCTAGGAACTGGAGTACAAAAGCCACCATAACCAGCCAGTTAATGCCACTGGATGATGAAAACCATGCTAATTACATGCTTGTATTTGCCTTTACAGCCATAGGAAATTTGTGGTAAAGCACAAACTGAAAAGCCAGCACAAAAACAACATCACTATCTCCAAATGTGTGTTGGATTTTTACAAAAGCATAAATAACTCATTTTTCAAAATCCTTTTTTTTTTTTCAAATACACTTTGCTGTCCTAAAGAATAAGAGGCTCAAAAGCTGTGGTTGATCAGTCTGTGAGCAGTCCTTAACATGCAATCCCTATGGTCCTGCCCTAATAGGAGATGGGGCAGAGTCTGCTGTCAGAGCTGCTAATAGGGACCAAATGGGCCCTGAAAGTGCAGCCAGGGGCACCTTCTTCAAGCCCTGCTGAGACTTGAAGAACAACAGTATCCCAGGATACTTCAGCAGGAGCAGAAGGAGAGGGCAGCAGATGCATGTCCTGGAGGCAACCCTGGAATGAGGAGCTCACCTGCTCAGCCCATCAAGGCAGAGTGCTAAGGTCTGGCCCAGTATTTTGTGTTGTCCTGAAACCTTGACTAATCCTCCAAAGTTTCTGAAGTCAGACCATCTTGCAAGATTAGGCAGCAAGAAGAAGGGCTACATACTGTTTCTTGAATTCTTGATAACTTTCCAGATATAATGTCAGCTACATGATGGTTTCTAAGGAAGAAACAGAAGAGGAGAGTGTGTAGATTTTGCTACATATCCTGGGCTTTGTCTGCAGCTAATTTTAGGGGTAGTCATTGGCCATTTGCCTAGAGAACAGTCCTTTTCAACAAATCAGGCAAGGCTTGGGACATATTTATAACTTTTCTTGAGATCCCCGACTTGATGAGGGCTCTGTTGTTTCAGATGTCCCTTGGGAAAATGGTGCAGCCAGAGTGGGAGGTGGTGAAGGTTGTCCTGCATTTGCTCTGCTCCCTGTCAGCCCTGTCTTTATGGATCCGAAGGAGTTGTAGTAGTGAGAAGGAAAACTCCCTAAAATACCAGTGGTTTTTGCGGACAGACTGTTACCTTTACAGCAGGCTGGGATCCTTCCCATAACATATTAGGATGCTTTTATAGGACCTGTCTCCCTTCAGCTCTTTGAACTGGAAGTTGTTTTGTTACTGTGAGTTTGAAGCTTGGTGTGTGAAGACTGTGACCAGTGGCTCAAGGGATTCCCTGGGCTGCAGCCACAGCAGCCACCATTTGTTTTCTTTTTACAGCCTGTGGAGGCCCTGAAGGCAGCTCAAATCCACCAGCTGACTACAAGCTGCAAACCACAACCCCTCTCCACTGTTTTAGAGCATACACCTGACAGGAATACAAGCCCTGGAGGGTCTAGGTGTGCTTTTCCAACTGCTCTCTAGCATTTCACTGGCTTTTTATTTACCCAGGATTTTCCTGAAGGTGTTTGCTTGTATTTTGGCATCCCTAGAGCTCCAGCTGCAGACTTCCCCCATGGGGATACTTAAAGGGTGAGGTTTTCAGAGCGGTGGGAGGTCTTTTTGTAATTGTTTAAAGTAACTTGGGTAGCATAAGAGGTCTGCAGAAAATATGTTGTCCCTCTCTATAACTGTCAAGAAAGTGTGCATGAACCAGGTTAGGAAAACACAGAAAGGATGCTTCATCCCTAAAGCTGTCTATGAGGGTCCTGTTTTCATGTCCAAAAGCACTTCCCAAAAAGTATGGTTAGAAGGAATTTTAGATAAAATTGAGGTGGAAGAAGGACATTTCTTCACTTTTTTCTGTGTAAAATATTAGACCCCAAGGGTCCGTTCTGTCATCCCAGTACATTCAGGCAAAGAAAGACTGATCAGGTTGCTAACACAGATTTCATCACCACACCACTGCCAAAACCTTACTTTTCCAAAACAAGCAGGAAAAGTCTTGAAGCTCCTAGAAGAGGCGGATAACTACTGTGGAGATATGTCCTTGGACAGATGCTGCAAGCAAAGAAATCCCTCTTCCCATTCCCCAGTTTTGAGTAGATTCAAACCTTATTGAAGACAAAGAATCAGTAACCAAAAACCCCAACCATATGCGTCACATATGAAGACGGTGTGTAAAGCCCCAAACTTATTTATGGGTATGGTCAGACATCATGGATCCTGCCACATCTGATGTCTGGCCTCTCACCCTGTGAAGATTGGGGGTTTTCCATAGGCTGCCTGTTAGACAGTAATCTCCAAATTCAGCAGTCCAAAACGTGGCTCAGCAGCTGTTTGCCTGCTCTACTTAGCCTAAACAACCAGGCTGGAAGGATAGTTATTATTGCCCTGTGGTGTCTAGTAGGATGTCTTTTCAATCTGCCCTGTGACAAATTCACATAGAGGACCTCAGTTGTGCTGAACGTCAACTTTCACTCTCAAGCTCTTACAAAACTACTGAAGAGATCTAGACGGACCCAAATATCTTAGCTAAATGGTGGCTGTCCCATGCTCAGTCTTCTGCTGCGTGCTAACGTTAAGTGCTACCAAGGTCAGTAGAACCTGCATCCTGCAGGGATGTGACCTAGGCCTCACTGAGGGGTTAAGCATGCCAATTTCAGCAGGAAAAGAGAAAAAAGATGGTTGCTTATTGCTTGGGGCTTTGTTATAAACAGGTACGCCTGAAAACCATTTTCTAGCAGTGCACAGCTACAAACACAATATTATTTCTAGAAACCACCCATGGCCTCAGTGCTGAAAGATGCAGAGAGGCCTCAGCATTAGGAACGTCAAGTTCCCTTGTTCCAGACTGCGGTTTCCTTACACCTTTCCATTTTGGCATAAGTTTGCAAAGCCACTCTCCATTTTTAATATTTAAAGGTTAGCTGACGCACCAAGCATATTCTTGGGAAATGGTGTAGCTGCAGTTCCAATAGGCATAGCTGAAAGTGGGAAAAGTAACGTGGCTGTATATCTCAAACAAATGGGGCGACATGCTGCATGAGCCAGGAAATAAATTTTTGCCTTGCCTAGGGAGTAAGTTTTACTTTCTGCTTCAAACTATAAAGATGTTGGCTAAAATTAGATGATTCATGTTGATTCACTACAGGTATAAAAACAAAAAGTCTCTCTGACCAAATTCTTTAGTGGGCAGGAGAGCCTTTTTTGTTAGAAGCAGAAAAAAATCCAAAAGGCAAAAAGCACAACACATTCACACATGCTTAAAAGTTACTGTTTTTTACCCTGGAAAATGTGGTTTCTGTAATTGAGGGTTGTAAAAAAGAAAAAAACCTTTTAAAGCATCCCACTCGATTAGTCATTCCAGGGTGGGTCAGTCTTATCATATCACGTGATGTCCAGTAATGGTGATGCAATAAAACAGATGCTGTCCGAATTTCGTGCCACCATTCTGCAGCAAAACTATGCAAATCAAACCACTGTCCTTTTCTAGAAATTCCAAAACATCCCATCTCTTCCAGGCCCTGTGCTTAGTAGCCTCTGCCCTCCCAAACAAACTAAATACATGATCATTTCTTCAGCAGCACATGACAAGAATGAGTTCCAGACTACTGGAAATACAACCCAGTGGAAATTCTTGTTGTGTACAGAGGGGTACTGTAACTTCTTGGAAAAAGAGATGGGAAAAAATAATATTTCCATAAATTGATTACAGTCTGGTATTCTGTATACTTTTATACTACATATATTTATATACTTATATTGTCTGGCAAGAAGTAGTGTACATAAATTCTCATACTGAGACAGGATCAAGCCTTTCTGTATCAGTGTATCTGACACTGTATCACCCCTGAAAGTTTTTACCCAACATAAAAGGAGGATGACAAAATTGTACCAATTCTGTTTCTATTTGGTATATTTCTCATCGAGCAGATATGTGCACATGGAAAAAGGAAAGGTAATGTGCTGTACTGTCAAAATTAATGGCTAATTTATTTAAACAAATTTCTGTCAAGCAGAGGATGTGGCTTTGAGTGACTAGCTATAATCAACTACTATCCAAAAAATGAGGGAAAGCCCAATAAATGTGCTACACACAAGATTTTATTGGCACAAAGTGAGATAGTGTTAGGAAGACACAGAGAATACAAGGGTGCAATCAGAATGACTAGCAGCTAGTACAGCAGTGCCTATAAATCAGATTGTCTAAATAAATGATAAGGTATGATTTTTACATTGAATCTGGTTTTACTTGAAAAAATGGTAATATTTCTACTAGAACGTGTAGCCTGGAAGTTATTTATGGGTGAACCTTTCTTCATTCTGTAGGTGAAAACAGCAAATGCACAGCAATGCTGTCATCCCCCTTGAAACTTTTCATTTCATTTAGATACATGTCCTGCCAAGTTTTGGATGAATTTTCTACCATAAAAATAAAGTTCTCTAAAAATCTCTGAAGCTACTTTGGGTATATAAGTAAACCCTAGTGGGAATTTCCCCAGCGGGAAAATGCACTCCATTTCTAATTACACTTCTAAAATTTGTAGACATGACTAGTGTAGATAAAAAAGAGGTACCAGAGATTAATTTGATTGTGTAATAAATTCCTGAAGAATGAAAAGCAGAGCTTTCAAAATATGAACCCAGATGGAGTGAAAAGACAGAACGTGATGGCAATGGCCACGTGGCAAGTGCAATTGGGCAAAGAGCCCATTACCATTGGCTTGCTACAGATCAGAGCTGACCAGTGTACCCAAAGAAGACACAACCAGGGTCAATAGGTGCCTCCCTAAATTAGGCTCCAGAAACATCTGTTGCTGTTGGCACCAGAAGTTTGCTCAGCCACTGTGGTATGTGTACATCAGAGAAGTCAACTGAGCTGTGGCAGAACCAAATTGCCCCAGGATTTACCCTTTGTGCTTGAGTAACTCCATGTCCTCTCTGCAATGGTGGCCCCGTGAGGCTGAGGCAGCAGAAGCTTGCTGTGAGACAGAGGTGACCACTCCAGCATCCAGTGAAGCCAGAATGTTGCTTGTGGGAAACAACTCAGACATAACAACCATTCTGAGAGGTCTCCAAGTGCTGGCCCAGGAGTGGGGCTTGGGACTTACCCTGGAAAAGGCCTGGGGTAAAGTTCAGCAGTGGCTGATGAAATTGAGACTGAGGAAATGAAGTGTTTGGCCTCAGTAAGAAGAATAGGGATAGTTCTGGTGGGTTTTTGATGGAGTAATCATTGAAGAAGCCTGATTTGCAACAGAATGGCAACAAAGTGAGTTTAAGGACTAAAGGCTGGTGAAGGAAACTGCAACAAAACCATTGCTTGGTCACAGGATAACACCTTTTTTAGTGTTTACGTTTTCCCAGATGGAACACTCAAAAAGCTTGCAAAAGACCCACAATGCCACCGGTTGTACCCTGCCTTTGGTTTTCATGCTCAATCCTTTCCCCACCAGTATACAATGATGTGTGAAGGCTGAGTCTGAGCTAGTAACAGAGGTGTTTAGGGAGTCATGGATACCCAGGAAAGGGCTGCTGTTATTGGGCCTTCTTAACCAATAACTCAACCCAAAAAATATCCTTCCATGTCTGCAACCATGTGGTCCCAGATCCCACATACAATAGACTTCCCATCCCCTGTGTGATGCATGGTCCTCTAGCATGGCACCTTGGAGCAACTGAGCAGAACAGAGGGATGCAAATGGCATTTGAAAGTGGAAGAGCAGGAACTGAGACCTATTAAATGAAAACAGAAAGAGAATTGAAATATAAAGAAAATTTCCCTCAAAACATGAACTTTGTACTGAATATTTCAATACAGGCTATGCAACAAATTGAGGTAGCATTGCAGTCAGAAATGGATATGTAATCTTTATGCATTCATTGGAACGTGAAAGGCTTAAAAGTGCTGTAATATTATAGTCTATGGCCTTTATTGGAGGCAGACAAGACATGCAATGGTATGACGTTTAATTTGGAAGGGAACATATTTTCTGGTTCTTTTGTACTTTTTAACTTAGGTTTTGTTTGGGAGAAATAGTCTAGTTACATTAAACATTTATGCTTTGTGAATTTACTCAAAAGAATTGTGTGAAACCAATACAGAAGAGGAGATCACCACTCTGCTTGGAACAGGCATTAGCATGAGAGTTCTGGACCAAACAGAAGGAGTGTGGCAAATGTACTGTGCTGCAGCAACATGATTTGTCATTTTTCTAGCTGTGTACTTAAGCAATGGCAAATTTACACAAACCCTTAGGTTTTGCTTTCTGACTGCAAGAATGAATACAATGAAGGAATAATTCTGGATAAATTTATTTTAATTGCCATCCTGTCAAAATGGTTAAAGAATTTATCAGCTTCTGAACTGACCATATAACAAGTGGGGTCAGCCATGGCAACACTGGTTTTAGTAATTCTCCTGCCTGCAACATTATGGGTGCAAAGAAGAAGAACTTTCTGGAGAAGTTGTGAAATCTAGAAACATTCTGTTGGACAATTTGACAGAAAACAATAGTATGCATGGAAATAAAATGCTTTTCTAGGCTTAAAAATAGCCAGCATTAAACAGGTGATACTGCACAGGTCTGTCACTCTATGACTATGTAGTCATAGAGTTTATTACCCAACACTTGTATTCTGATGTTTCCATTTCTTAATAACTCAAATTGCTTGCCAAACATAAGGAAACTTAAATTCCAAAGATGATCCGATGCTGTGTCAAAGAGGAATCAATCATTTTACAATAGATATCCAGGAAATCTCAGTGTGAGGCAATGAAGTCTCTGTAACTGAAGGCAGAGGCCAAATGATTTTACACAGTTCTTCAGCATGATTCAGTTTTCCAATACCCAGTATCTGAAGTAACCATAACTGTTTCATCTTGAACATTACTGTTTCTGAATTTGCAGTGTTGGAATATTTACCTTTCTTCATTTCCAGCTGTCAATTGAAGATCTTGTTAGTGGCTGACACTTGGGAATTTATATGCATGAAGGATGTTAGCCATGAGTTGGTCATGGATTAGATTACCCATCTGCATCTTCTGTGTGCACAGTCTCCCAGAGTCTCTCAGGCAGGGAGGGATCCCAGGAAGTCTCTGCTCAAAGAAGGGTCAGAGCTCACTTCAGACCACATTGCACAAGCCTATGTCCTTTTGGGCTTTGAAAGTCACCAGGGCAATGCCCTCTTCTTGGTATCCTCCTCCTGCACCCCAAGATGCTACACTGAGGTCCCACCCCAGATCACCCTGCCAGGTTATTTTGGCCTGAGGAGCCTTGCTGAGCAGTGCTGTACAGCTGAATGCTCAGGCAGCTTTAGAACACAGACGTGCAAAGGCTTCCTCTCCTTTTGGGTCATGCCTTCCCCATGTCTCATATCATTATTACTGCTCAATGCCCTGGGGAAGGGCATCTCAGGGAGGGCTAGCAGAGACCTATGGAGTCTCCCTGTTGACCTAGAGAATTATATTTAAGATTGGAATGTCTCTGGGGAGTGCTTACACACCACGATCATAATAGTAGCACAGTGAACCTTGTGTGTGAGAAGAAAAGATTTAAAGGAGCCAGAAATAAAGACAAGTTCCATTAGGCATTTGCTAGAAGTGACTCGTCCTTGTTTTCCACTCTTAGAGCTGTGGACTTGGACAGACAACAGAGGAAACCTTCCCTTCCCAGAAATTTTAACCAAGCTGAATGGATTTCTGTGAGACAGCTGAAGTGGCTGACAGTGATGGGAAAGATAATCAATGCTAGGGTGAATGCTTTGCTTCACTGACTCAGACATTGCTCAGTTAATGTTACATTCAGCACTTGCAAGATTCCAGCACAACCCTTGTGGCTTTCCCCACTGGTTTTCTTCACTGAATCGCCATTCCTGGTAGGGCTGAAGTGGAAACAGGAGAGAGGCATGCACCATCAGATGCAAGTAATATGGACCCCACAACTGAGCTTGCGCTCCTTGATAAAGTAACAGCAAAAATTTATAAACTAGGCATGAATAAATTCAAGCTGGAAAGTAGGAGCTGTCTAACTGTTAGAGTAAGGGGATCTTGCAACACCCTATTCATAGGAGCAGCGGGAGGCAAAACAACATGATTATTTTTAAGATGGAGCAACCCTGTTCTTGTGAAAGGGAAGTGTAGTAACACAAGGACCTGACCTTTGTGGTCCAAGAAAACCTAGTGCTCTCTTGATTGGTAGGAAAGGTGAATTTATGCTTATTCATACAGAGAAAAACAGATTATTTTCCCTTTATTTTGTAGATGATTATAATGGATTCATGTAATGTGAGTGAGTGAGGAAACACTCGTAGCTTCAAATGTGGAGTACTCCTCCAAAACAAGGAATGCAGCTGCTCCATTTTTAAATGTGACTTGTGTTTAGTGAAGCCTTGGGAACATTTTTTTTTTTTTGCCTAATTAAGCATCCTCTATAACCATGTTTGTTGAAAAGTGTCATATTTCTTGGCTCTTTGTTTTTTACAAAAAATCCCAGCAACAAAACCTTTCAAAAGCAGATGTGTTACACTTATCTGCTATTGGGTAAACAAGTTGTGGATTTTGGGGTTTGTGATTTCGTGACCTGCTACCAGTGTTTAAGACATGTCATGAGGTTTCAGTTTGGCTCATTCACACATATAAAATCCACAAATGTTAAAAATGTGACTGCCAGAGCACTTACCCTTGTCTCTTATAATGCCAGCCCCAGCCCTATTTAAGAAGGGTAGCAACAACCTCCCCACATTTCTGTGTGAGTGTCCAACCAAACCTCTTTCATTTCTGGTGGACCTTCTCCTAAGGGTGGTCTGCAGCTGCTGGGCTGAAAATTGGTGATATGCTACTTATTGTCACGTTGCATTTTTGGAAATTCTATTAATTTCCAATATGAAATACCAGTTAAGATGGTCCTTCTACAGAAGGTCTAAATTGCTGCTGTCCACCACAGCTACTAATGATCTTTTTCTGAAATTTAATTTCCCATAGTTGTAGATTTTGTGGGCAAAGCAAAAGCAATCGGTGTCATACATCTTAAATATAACACTCATAAATAAGGTGGAGAAGTGTGGTCAAGACAAACTGAGGATTCTGGGGAGGGGAAAAGCTTCAAGAAAACCACATAATCTGTGGAGTCAAAGGGATCCAGTGAGCAGAGTTTCACAGGGATTTAACCTGAGTCTGATACAATGCAGTATTTCCAGGTCTGACCCAAAGACAGAATAAGGTATTATACTAAATGTGCAAATAACACCAAGCTGGGGAGAAGTACAAGGTTAGACCTCAAAGAAATCTTGCCATATTGGAAACACATTATGGAAACAAAATGAAACAAAACATTTTTTAACAGGGACAAGTGTGGGGCGTGCAGACATTGAGTGGAAACCAGGCAGCACACCAATAGGAAATGGCCCACAAGCTGAACATGAGTAAACAGAATTGTAAAGCTGCAAGAAAAACAAAAACTGGGCTCCATAGAGGATGGACAATAAGAGACATGGATGGAAAAGCCCAATCATTGTGCTACAGCACAACCACAGCTGAAACTGTGTCTAGCTGGGAGGCTTGCACACTAAGAAGGACGTAAGTACTTGGAAGGAGTACAGAGAAGAGTAATGACAAAGAGCATGAACCTAGAAAATAAAGTCTTGGAAGAAAGATTGGGTTTAGTTGTGTTTTTCCTGAAGAAGGAATGGCTAATCAAGAGCATCACAAGTTTCCATACCAAGAAAAACTGCTGATAAGGTGATGAGAACAATTATTTTTCATACTCATAGGGTAAGAACAATGTCTATGGGTTGAACATCAGCTAGGACACTTCTAGGAGCATGGGAAGCAACGAATGAGGTAAATGGCTAGAGGAAAAATATTCTGGAGACTTCTAGGAGCAGTCTGGTTAAATGCTGATCAGGAATGATGCAGCTAGAACTGACCCAGTCATGGGACAGCAGAGATGAGTTAAACAGCCCGCTGAGGTGGAAATCACTGACCTGGTAAAACAACAGTTGGAAATATGGGTGACAGCTCAAAGCTATTTTAAAAATGAGCTCATGCCACTTCAAAGAAATGACAGCTTCACAGCTCTTTTTCATGGCTGCCTGGAAATTCTGGGCAGTTATACTCTGGGGAGATGGGGCTGTATGATGCCACTTGAGAGCAATTGACAGAAAATATGCTTTAATTCTTGGTAATAAAAAGTTTTATTGTTTGGTTTAGTCACTCTCTTCTCACCATTGTAACATCACCAGGACAGCATTAATTTCACAAGTCTTAGCTTGCAGTATTTCACCTTAAGATAAAGAGAAGCAGTGAAAAACAGATATGGGTTTACTTTGGATTGGTGTACATTGTAAAATACATGCAAATTAAGGTACATATGCAAGAAAGAGCACTGAACTGAACAGAAATATGCTTCTTAAGTAACTTCAGAGGCTGCCATCAAGCATTACCACCACTTTGGGTATATTAGTATGCTTGAGTTCCTTTCAGGTACCATTCTGGTTTCACATAACAATTGCAAGACTTGGTGTGTTACAGGGAAAAAATGTTCAGGATAAAGATCCTGTGGTCCACTGAGCCAGGTAATCAAAACTAGAGCTGCTCACAGCAACTCTTTGTGAGCTACTGTTCCCAAAGGTTTTGTTAGACAGGGCTCTCTCATATTATGAAAAGACCAAGAGGGGGGCATTTTCGTAAGTCCCAGAAATACATCTTTGGGCCTGTGTTTATGTGAAAAATTGTATGTGGCATGTAGTGAAACAGTGTCCCAAAAGAGCAAATGTGCACAAAGATGTAACTGCAAGTTCCTTCTATCAAACAGGTTTTGGTAATGACTTGGGACAAGAAACAGTGTCAAAAATCTGTGGGGAGTTGTGAAAAATAGCACATCCATAGCTTTTGATTAAAAATACTCTGATGCTACATATACCCACTATTCTTTTATTCTATTTTGATGTTTTTGCATAAGATGTTTTTCTGAGGACAGGAATTGTGCCTTTGTTGAAAATTTATTATGAATATTTACTCATTAAGATTTTACAAGGAGCAACAAAACAACAAAACAACAAAAGTTGCACAAAGATACAGCAACATGGAAGGATTTGGTTAATCACAGAATTACATAGTCTTGTGGTCTTCCTCATGCATTATACCAGAGCAGGCTGCTACAACAGAGATGAAAGAGATTTCCTGAGTGGTATTAGCTTCAGTGTCAGCAAAACCATCAAATTACATCCCGCAGGGGAAGGTATTGCTGAAGTGGTCAAGATATTGAAGATCTAACAGATTTACAGAGCTGCATAAGCAGGTTTTTACATAAGATTTCTAGACTGAGATGTGCAAATCCCTGGAATGCTTTCATTGCAACCAGATGGTACACAAGACGGGAAATGTCAAGTGTGAAACCATTAAGAGAAAGAGGTCAAATATCAGCCATCGAGGTGGTAACATCTGGATGGTCAGTAAGCTTGTGTGGGAAGAAATTCAGAAGCCTGTTTGATGCAGTATTTAATTTTCAGTTTAAAGAAGTTTATTGATGATGGAAAAAACCCATTCACTTCTTGCACTATCAAAATCAAGCAAGTTTTTTTGTTTTCTAAACAAGTTTCTTTAATGAATAGCACCTTCTACATTTGAGTGTTGAAATTTTCCATCTCTTTGATGATTAACAGAATGAGGCTGATAAATCTGTCTTTCAGCGCCATAATGCACTCTGTCTCCTAAACCTCAGCATGGTGGCCTCTTTTCCCCTCAAATCTTTCAGAACAGTGAAACCATAAAATAATATTCACTGTCATGTCAGCACTGAGTTAAAGCTGTTAATGGAAAAAAACCCTTATTTCACAGGGTTCTGTAAGAAGAAGTTTCAGGTGATGTGAGTAATTTTACTTGGGCATTTATGCCACTTTACATTGCTGCTAACAGTAATAATCCCTTGACTGCCCTCACTCAGTGCCTGGAACTTGAGAACATTTTCATGTATTACATGACAATTTCTATTGACTTTATTCTCCAAACATCAAGGCATGATGAAAATTGTTTCATCAGCTTGAAATCTGACAGTCATTAGTCTGAGTTTCAGACCAACAAAAACTGGAAAAGTGATG